AATAAATATTTTATGTATGTTCCATGATAACTTTTTTAGAAGCATTAAAAACAATAGTTAAAAAATTCAAGCTATAAAAGATTAATAACAAATTCTTTAAAACATTTATTAAATTTTATTTTATACTGATGAATTATGCTCACTACATCAAAGTTTCATTTTTTTTTTAATTCTAAAATTTTATAGTTTAACAGTTATTTATTTTTTACGTTGCAAAATATCTCAAAATATCTTCAAATCTGAATCTTGAATCTTGACATGTTTGTAACCACATCGCAGAATGTTACAAGAATATTTAAATATACTTGTTCTTTTTTCAAATATTAAAACTATTAATAATTCGAAACAATAACCTATGTCAACGTTTCTACACGTCCTGGAAATGTAAAAACGCTAAAAACTTATGCTAGAAACATATCCAAATACGCTTCATCTGTGTAAGGCTTGAGCGCAAATGTTTTTGGCGTTCTCGGGGAAAGTTTGGCAATTGCAATAGACGGTTGTATTGAGCCATTAGAATCAGCCGGGATCAATAGCGTCCATTGCAGGATTTTGGTCGGTGTATTCGGCGGAATGTCGGAGATACGGCGTGGAAGTAGTTCCGAACAGCTGTTCGAAAGTTGCCGACTACCGGGCTCTTTTTAGGAGTGCCAGAGACGAAGACTGTAGGTGGGATCGCGATCGGCTATCGCTCCTGATTCCTCGCCGCGTCGTCTTATCTCTTAACGAAAAATTGCGAGATCGAAATCGTATGAAACGAATCCATACTCTCACCCCTCCTGGAATCTCGAGGAGTCGCCTTTAGCGCCAGCGGGAACCCCGACACGCCTTGATCGCGATGGTAGTGAAATTGATTGATGTACGGCCCGCCGAATTCTCGACATCCACCTTCTCGGGAACCCACGTACACACGTACACACATACACACGTACACACATAGATATGCTCTCACGCTTTTCGACTCCTCCGCACTCTCGCACCCTGCGCCGCATTAAGATCCGAACTTGTCGAGCCGAATCTCGCGTGAGAAGGAAATGCACTCGGTAGATTCGCAGCGCGGAAGCCGTTATCCTTGGCGCGCGCTCGTGCAATCCAATCGATGTATGTACAAAAGCCACGACGCCGCGCCGATACGAGCGCATCAAACAGCGGCGAGGCGACGTGGAATTTCAAGTTTGATCGATATTGCCCGTCTCGTGCTGGCGAAATCCGTTTGCTGGAATTCAGGAAGTAGAAACAGTTTTTTTTTCAACGTCGTTTTGATGAACTTAAAATACGTTAGCGTTTCAACACTGACAAAGATTTCTTAAAAGAAATAACGCGAATATTCGCTGTTTCAATTTTTGCACTTCCTGTACAGAATGAATTCAAACTGTCTCTTAATGGGAAACGAAGGTGCAGCTAGATACAAGAGAGAGAGAGAGAGAGAGAGAGAGAGAGACTTGACGGAGCTCGAGATAAATTCTCGATCTTTCTGCGTGTCCACGAGGACAACGGTATTAATGGGACTCTTCCGGCAGTACGCTCGGTCAATCCACTTTGCGAGAAAAGATGAAGAGTTGAGAGAATCCTTTCAGGCTCTCTCTCCTCGTCTAAACCGGCTGGCCGATTGGCTCGTCGATGCTGCAGGTAGGTACAGAACTTCTCTATTGTCCCCGTGAATGATAGAACCGACTTAATCACTGCACTCCATTATGTCGGCTACCCCACATTTCTTTCTTCGCCTTCTCGATTTCTTTCTTCTTTTCGCCTTATTCTCTCCCTTTCCGCCTGGCCCCTGTTATTTCCGTTTCTCTTTCACTTTCCGGTTTCATTCAATCCCTCTCGCTCATGCGTCGTTTCCTTCTTCCCGCTCTTCTCCCTCTCTTCCTTTACTCGCCCTCCGACCGTTCATGATTCTTTCTCCCTCTTTACGATTGCCACTCAAAAGGTTACTGCTGCCCGAAACGCTTTTCTAAGACCCCGTCTAATCGTAAGTCAGTGGTGCCGGATCCTGGTCCGATTGCTAGCTCGGGATTGATTGGCAGATAGAACGTGCTAACGGCCCTTATAATTCCTAGGCAAACTTTTCTAGATGAGTGAAAGGGATCGGCCACGCCGAATGAATGAAACATTTCTGGTGTACCGAGCGCGAACGTGAAAATCCACTCTAACGAGATCTAAAGGCAATCGCGTCCAAGACTCGAGAAATAATCAACATGAAAATAAAGTAATGTACAATAGAAATCAATCGTTTCCCTCCTGTTATAACACTTGATGTGTCTGTTAATATGCACATATTGATTATGAAAAAAATTATCAATCATGAATTTGAGGAAAATAAATGGACGTTAGCTTCTACGTTGTTTAAAAAATAATCGTTTGGAGAGAAGAACGAGCGTATTAAGTCAAGAAATCGTCTTCGGTGCTCATTTCTACTTAAACGTACTTTTCTTCTGAAAGAAAAGCGTTCATCGTATTCGACTTCCGTTATGTCCGGGAGTTCAATAATCAGCAAGAAATCCGAGTATGTACGTGTGTGTGTGTGTGTGTGTGATTGCGGATAGTTTTAAGAACCAGTATTACGATAATGGCGCGAATCGGGTGCGGTTGGATAATCCATCCATCGTTTGAAGGCACGTACAAAGACTAGGAGGAGCTTAACTGGAGGGTGAGAAGCGGATCGCGCGACTAGAAGACGATCCGCAAGCAAGAGGAAGAAGTCGCGGGCGGAGAACGTAGGTAAGAGGTAAGAAGGGTAGCGGAGGAGGAGGTGACATAGTCGGTGCGATAGTCGGGCGCTCTCCCTCCGGAATGAAGTCGGATCATATTTTTAAGATGCAATTTCGAGGGAAATCTCTTACGCGGTAGCAGCTGCTCACCGCCCACCGTTAGCCCGTTTCCTGCAGCCCTTCGCGACGTATATCCGGCGAAAGATCGCCGTGCGACGAAACGAAAAGAGGGCGGGAGCGAGGAGAGGGAAGAGGATGAGCCGGGTTAAAGTGAACGACGGAACATGGCAGGGATATGAGGCCCTAGGCTGATCCCGGAAAAGACCGGAGGAAAGCTAATGCACCGCACCGCGCCGCGCGTTTCTGCGGCATTCCTGGCTAGCGTAGCCGATGGTAATATAATTATGGCGTAAATATACGTGTGTACCGCAATCTTCCGCCAGGTGTTATGGCCGTTGGATTAATGCATTAAGATCCGAGGGGGTTGAAAGGGGGCGGGGGAGAAGGGAAAGGGTAAATGCCGCCTTTAAAAGCTCGGGAACGCAGCGGATCTTCCACTTAAGCTTGTAAAATTATGAACTTATTAAATTATGAGTTTTAAGAAACGTTCATTAAACATTTTCTGTCGAATGCTTTAAAATGAGCAAGAAGAAAGAAGATTGTGAGATATTGCGATAGTTGAAAGCACGATGTATATATTTCAGAAATATATTGACTGTGTATATAAGATTAGTTATTAGTCATAAAGTTTATGGAATTATTTGAGTGATTGAAAGATCCCTGTCAAGCTGTCTTCTTGCCATATTATATTACACACGACGGAGTTGCGCGAGTTATCGGATAAGCTCGATAAAAGTAACGCGCAATCATTTATAATCGTGTCATGCCGTAATTTGAACTACATCTGCAAATTGAATTTTATTAAACTTCTATTGTTTTCATCAACATGCAACGAAATAGTATGAGTCTCATAAAATTTGTGCTTAAACGGTTGTTCTCTCTTTTATCCAGAAAGGTTGTTTTTATCCAGAGAAAATTACAGAACAAGTTATCGACTGCAATGTTGGAAATTAACGCGCATCCATTCGTAATCGCGTGATTTTATAATTTAAACTACATCCGCAGAGAGATTGAGCTTTATTAAGTTATATGAGTATTATATGTGAACCACAAGTTATATGTGTATCTCGCGAATGTTGCTCGCGTGTCGTTAAATCCTCGCAAACTTGCGGGGATCATTGAGAGACGACAAAAATTAATGCACAGCTATTTGTGATCGCGTGCCACGTGCACCGTGCGATTCTGGGGTTGCAGCCGGTGATCGGGACGATTAGAATTCAGGAGGTTGTGCTTCCGTGGCTGCCACCGATACACAGGCCAAAGTTTGTCGCTGATAGTCTCGAGTACGCCTTGGGAGCGTTCCTTTAACTTCCGTCTCCGCTGCAATTGCCGCGCCTGTAGGTATATACACAATGCGCAACGGCAGCGGTAGCGGAGTGGAAGCGGCGCGGCGGCTGCGTTTCGAAATTCAAGTAGCGCTGCCTAGAATAAGCAGGCAGGCGGTCTCCCGAGGCAACTATCTCTCGTATGAGCTGGGACTGACTAACGTTGGTTACGCTTTGATACCCGTTTTATGCTCGTTGCGCGCGTCTTTTATTACCCGAGATGCGACGACGTCACGAATGTGAGATAAATCATGTATGGCATTCAATCTGGCTCGATATAGCTTTTCGACGCAGCTTTAGAAGTGACACCTCATTTAAAATTGTATCCGATCGCAAAATGTACGCGTTTATAACTGTCAGAGGAGGTAGTAACTATCGCATGGAGAACGTCGGGATAGTTTAAGTAAATTATTGTCATTATTGATGCCGTAATAAGAATATAAAATCAAAGTGTTGACCCGTCATTTGTAAAATTGTTTATATTGCATCTATTTGCCACGGATTTGAAGATATAGAATTATAGATGATAAAATTCACGATAGAAATCTTTGTAACAAAAATAGGCCTATCGCGATAGGTATCGACGTGACGTCGGCGTCGTGTCGGAGGCTTCTCTTCAATATCGTTACGTGATAGCTCATATATTATGTAAATAAAAGATTTAAAGTTCTACTCCGTGTTCGGTGTACGAAGCGGGACGAAAGTGTCACGCGTATCGACGAAACCCACCATAAAAGTCTTCCTATACGTGGGTACTGCGTAAAATTTACGTGGTGTCGTATTTTCGGAACTATCGCGATATCATAAAAAAGCGGTATACAAGGATATATTTAAGAATTCTTACGTCATGTATCCAGACGAGCTTGGACCAAGAAGGGTTGGCTCTAATGTGGCACTCGAAGTATACGTCATCCCCTTCTTTAATGTCCTCTGGGCTTAAGGTCGATCCGAGGTTTAACGATACTATCGGCGGATCTGCAACAGCAAAATATTCAAACATTTCTATGTTGTACACATTGACAAAGAATATTTCAAGATTGCCTATACGTATTTTCTATATCAGTCTCTCTTTCTCTAATTGTTTTATCAATACAATTTTTGGATATTAAAATTGACATTGATATTAGCGTAAAAGAGAAGATAAAACGGAATAAAGGGATAGACTAATGTTATGATATGCTTCGTTCATTCGAATACTTTGTCGTGAAATATATATATTATTGTAAATATAAACGATAAAAGCATCGTAAATTGCTGTTTTCATTACCGGACTCGCGCGCGCGTCACACACACACACACACCTCAATTTCTGCCAGCGAAGCTACGTCCGCGAGGCATAATCTTCAACTTCTCCCTCCGTTAGCTCCGATATTTTTCCTGCTCGTGAGACTCTCAATAATATCTCGCGCCGTTCCTACGGTAACTCGTAAATGTTCTCCCGCGACTCTACGGATAGCTGCCAGCAATCAAGTCTTTATTTGCTCGTCGTATCTGGCATTTATTGTGCACATTAGTTTAACCATAGCGCGCCCCTCCAATCCTTTTTTCGTAAGTTTACTTTCGTATATATTTCAATTTTCGTGGAATTTTATCACTCGCGTCGGTTTACAGTTATATCGTCCCTCCGAACCGCGCTGCTGATTTACTCTTTCGTTAGTTTGTTTTTTTTTTTTACAAGTTGTGGCAAGGTTTGTTAATATTAGAACAAGATTGGAAGAAATTACCGGAAGTTCAATCTTCTTTCGCCGTTATCTGTCGGAAGCGACAGTGACGACGAAGACGAGGGATCGACCGCGCCAGGCCGGACCGTCTCTCTGAGATGGTGTAATTTCAAGTCCGGACTTCGTGGAAACGGTCACCGTAATCGAATACGTGACATGACACCATTTCCCGTATTCTGCAGTTTTTCCCGTTACGCGAATACTCGTCCATGCTCTTTATGTATTTCCTGGTCGCCCGTTACTCGGTCGCTATATTTCTGCCCGACGTGCAGGTGCAACGGACGGAACCGGACAGATAAGAACGAACGATAAACCGTATAGAATCGAAAAATTTATCGCTGCCGAAGTAATAAGCGCGCACCTCCGCAAAATTGAAAAAAATACCTGAGGCGGCACGCGAGTCTTCCGCTTGCATCGCACTTTTTCCCGTTATTTATACATATTATACAATTAAAATAAACATACAATAATATACGGCGACTCGCAACATCGTATAAGAGTGGTCTCTATTCTATCAAATATTATATATATACCTTTGCGTCAACGTTCGTGGATATAAATTTATGTCGCGATGCTCTAACCGTTCTTTTAAAGAGCATTTGATTTATTGCACCGATACTAACCCACTTTTCAAAAGAGAGAAAAAGTGAGCGTAAAAGGCTGAGAATTTGAAATTTAGATTAATAATTATAATGATATTAAGGCTCAAATAATGAAACTTAATTAAGATAATTAAATATCGATTAATTTTCTAAAATGTTTCAAAAAAATGAATTAGATTACCCTATTGTTGCATGAAATTCTTTATGTTTTCTTTACTAATTTTCACAATAAATCGACTGTCATAATTTCATTAGAACGCTATTACTTAATTGACGGCAATATTAGGTGCTGCGAGAGAGATTTCATTGGCGATAGATTAAAGATACCGACACGGATGACAGTTGCGCAAGAAAACTTTCGAGATTACGAGTCACCCACGACCGGCGCCTTAACCGTCTTATCGCGAGTATCAGCAGGATGATTTATCTGCGACCTAAAAGAACCCCCGAGTTTCTGTGTTCATGTGTGTAAAATTTGCTTTTATGCCGATGTGACAGCGTCATTATTATTTTTTCTGACGCAGCTTTTACGAAGTTTATAATTATTGTCCAAGTATTATACCGTGCAAGTGAGACAGATGAATTTTACACGGCGCCGTACAATAATCTCGCGAGGAAATGATGCTGCGCGAGGTAGAATTTGCCAGCTACCGTCCAACGCGCAATCATTATCCGGTGCCGACAAATATAAAACACGTGGACATTCGCGTTAAAGATTTCCAGGACGATAACTCTGACCGCGACTCATTTAGAGAAAGAACGCTGCTGGATGGAACATGGAACGAGATATTCGGTTCCCCTTCTCCCGTAACCTTCCAGCTGTGTTGTCACCCATCGTTTTAATATGCACTGAGCGTGCCGTAACTCTCGACACGCTAAGTCGAACATAAAGTTTACGAGGCCGGATGAGCGTAGTTACGTGATAAATTTCACGGGCGCCCGGCTAACTGGACGCGTGTTACGCGCGCAACGTATATATAATAATATTCCTACATCGCGCTTATAACCGTTTGCAATAAACAAGATAGATAGATAGAGAGACAGAGAGAGAGAGAGGAGGGGGGGCAGCAAAAAAGAGAGAGAAAGAGAGAAAGAGAAGAGAAGAGAGAGCATCGCGTAAAAACAAGATGAGACCGTTCGATGCTGAAAAAAAAACGGCGCCTTTGAACGTAATTATCGCTCGGGACGAAAGACGACGCGTTTAATACTTTTAAGGTCTAAAGAATTGCGATCTAAGAAACTAAGGATATCGAGATCTTACAGTGTCTATAAAATTGCTTGTTGTGTATAAAAGGAGAGATTGCATTGGATAATGGAAGGAAGAGTCTAATAGAAGTGGAAAAGCTACTTGGTTGTTAGTAAACGGAAATATGGAAACATAAAATGTAACAGAAATTATGAATAGGTTTATATTAATTAACATGACAATCGGGATCGAGAGACTCCGATGATGAACGGCAACGCCGAATTTTCGACATGCAGCAATTTATAAGAAATGGGAAGATCTTTTTATTGGCGGTTGTAAAAAAGGGGAGCAGCATATGGGACGCGAAAAGTAAATGATACGTGAACACGGGGGATGGAGAAGGTGCGTTTTGGTGCGCAGAATGAAGAGGTTCGTAAAATCGGTCGAATGAAGATAAGATCGAGAATGTGGAGTGGTTGTCGGGCAATTTCTTCATTTTCTTTTTTTACGACACATGCGTGCGGCGATATACGACAATAGAACGAGTCGAAAGAGAACGGAGGGATAGAAAGAGAAGGCGAGTAAGAGAGATCGACAAACGCTGTAAAGTACCATTCGTCATGGTGTCGTATTCGATTTACCGCGATCAGTTTCGCGATCTGTCGGTCGTGAGCGAGTTTACGGTTCCGCGAGAAATTGGAACGTTAAGGAAAAATGTAATGTGTACTCACATACGACGTCGATCTTCCAGGACTTCTCGACGAAGAGTCCGGTCACGTTTGGATTCTCTGCTCGGCAGGTGATAGATTTCCCATCATCCTCCACACCCGGCTCGAACTCTACCGTGCTGACGGTTCGATTCTCAGATCTTTCCTCCTGCGAACCATCCAAAAAATTCAGTAAAATTATCGTTTTTATCTATCATGCCGATTTGCTCGCTATGTATAGTAAATCGCCCGGAAATAGCGGCGACATGTGTTTATAAATCTTTTAAGCTTGTAAATAGAGGAATTAACGAAATAATACGATTTAATTGGAATATTACATGTTATACATATGATGAACAATAAAATCTTTAATTAAATAAGATTAAAACATTTTTAATTTTATTTAATTATTAAATAATATAAAAGATAAAGAGAATTTGAGATTATTCAAAGATATTCTTTAACCGGCTATTTACTATTGCATATCTCGTATAATTCTCTTTGCATTCTGATTCTCTTTGCAAAACTTTTTATTTGCCCATGCAAGTCAATACAAACAACGAATTGAAACGATTGAGGTCGGAGCACGTATATGGGAAAGCTCATCGAGGAAGATGACGTAGAAGTGAATTAGCACGCGCGTCAGTAGTATAAGTGTGTGCGCTTTCGCTCAGACGAAAGTCCTAGTTGCCAACTGCTATATTCTGTTAAGGAACTAGGTATGCCGGCTGAGTCGAGCTTCGATCTCTTGAAAACGCGTTTCGTAGCTCGCAATCTCTCACGACGAAAAGTCATTCAAATCTCGCACGACGACCGACGCGTGACGTGGAAGCGAGTGCGCCGACACAGATGAAGCGCTTCGATCAGCGACATAAATGGATTAATATTTTGATAAACTCATTAATGCTAGAAACAGCAAATAATTATATATTTTAACATGATTATATGTACTATTTTTATTTTTATAATTCAAAATAAAATATTTGTTAATATATGTTAATATATAAGATATAATAATAGATATATGTAAATCTTTGAGAAAATAATTGATTTAGTATTATACCAGAAGTAACAACTTAAAAAGTAGCTACTTCAATAACTATTAAAAATGTATTTCTAAAATTTATTTCTAAACAGAATTTAAAAAATTATTTGTTATTGCTACGACTAATTTATTGCTACAGCCGTTACTTGATGAATATGTCTATGCTAATATTAAATTTCCTACTTAGAGAGTCTAAATATGTACATTTGCATTCAATTCGTTGCCTCGCTCTTATCAAACTTGTCTCCAGAATCTTTGTTACTTGCGTTAACCTACTCAAGTTTACAACAGTTAGGTTTCACAAAACCCAACACAGGAGGAAATCGCGAATCCTGCCTTCTAATTGTCAGTCACTTCGCGCTTTAATCATTATGCTAATCACATAACTACTATATAAGCCAAATTTCGTAACTCTATGAATACGTAATACCGGCGAGAATGTCGATAAATACTGATTATACTTTATCTTCTCTTTGCCTTACATATCTCTATATATTGTCTATTTTTATGTCTTAGCTGCGCTCCATGTCTCAACTCTTAACGATGTTATATATACATCACGCTGCGATATATATTATATTACAGTTATATTATTAATAATTATTAATAATAAAAATATATATCCTGCGTAACAGCCTCTAATCTTCATTCGTTTTATTTCAATAATTCGGATCCTAATTACATGGTAGGCCTTTCTTTCGTTTTGAATGACAAATTGAATATATGAAAAAAAGTAAAGAAAATGTTAAATTTATCTTCAAAATTTCCTAATAAATAAAATATAAAACAAAATGTAAAATAAAAGAAAATATATTTTATTAATTATATAATTTCAAGATCATATTCAGAAATAATCTTACCAGATTTTTTTCTAAATACATGACTTTAAGCGTGTAAGAATACATCTGGAGAAACATATGAGTGCCAAAACCGGCGGAATGCGCGTGCAGTGGGAAAAAACATAAATAAAAGAGAAACGAGAAGAAAAAAGTAGATATTCCTTTTACGATTTTATTCTTTGACTTCTATTAAAAATTTATATATTTATGTGATATCTCCGATGATACTGACACATATCAGTACTATTTATGGATCCACTCACACGCTTCCAAATCCACAGGTGACGAAAGATGAGAGAAATTTTAGTGGCAGAGGTCATGTGCGCATTGAAAATTTGGACCAGAACATCACGCGAGAGGAAAGATGTAGACTGTATTTAAAAAATATAGAATATTATATAGGAGCGAGCGAAGTGTGAGCTGTATTTCAAGAAAGCTTGCGCTTCCATGACTCATATATTTATGAATATATGTAACGTAATAATATAAGTTACAAATCCATGTACGCGGAGTTACGGCTGAAAGTACAAAACACTATGGGAATCAAATGTTATTTCCTTTTTCGAAAATACACATTATAAATAAATAAATTAAAAAAAGCTGAATGTATATTCCATTAGAATGGACGCTAGCAACGAAGGGATTAAAGGTCGGGTGCAATACGCGGAACTGCGCTCTCCGTTTCGTATCCGTCGGGAAAAATAAAGATATTATTAGAGAGAAAGAGAGATGGACAAGTATGATTTTTAAAAAATAATAATCTCGCGGTGAGAGAGGGAACATTTCGAAACGTTCTCGTACGGTATAATTCCGTGGCGCAAGATGGCGAGGGAAAGCGGAACGGGGAAAAAAGGATGAGAAAAATCTGATTCGACGCGCCGCTCGCCATGGTTAATTTCGGTTATATTAGGTTCCGCAGGGGCGGGCCGTAAGCAACCGTGGTAACATCTGTCGGGAATTCGTCCTCGCCGGTTTTCAGACGCTCGGAAAAGCTCCGAGACCTGCCGACGTGGCGAGAATCTTTCCTAAGCAGCGCGAATTCCGATCAGGGATTTCGCTTATTTTTCATTTACCGAGGAAAAGCAAGAGCTGTTCGCTGCGTGTATAGAAGGAGATAATCGAAAAACCGGGACAAGGGTACAATACCTGTGATAGAATAATAGATAAGAGCATGAGAACCGCGCGCTGTTGTCAGATGATTTTTAAGTTATATCAATATAAAGTGTCGAAAGCTCAATTATTGCCACAAGTTTGTATAAATGTGTATCTCTATATACAATAAAAAAAAAAAAAAAACAATAAAATAGTATATTGGGGTAATTTTAACGATGTGTTTATGAACGTGCCAAAATTTTTGCCGAAAGACAATCGATTATTTAATAATGTATACTCAATTTTGTCTGATACAATCAATTTTGCTGGATTGTTCAATCAGATATGATCAATTTTGCCGAAGCGATATAATTATTTATCGTAGTGTACATCGCGTTTCATCTTATCAATGCTTTTGATAACAGCTAATTACTACATACAGACACACAATAAACTTGTCTAAATAAAGAAAATCATAGAAGAGACATCAACTGTATCATTCATTAAGATTTCCAAATTTCTAGATATTTAAGTATAACAATACTTTATCATTGAATTCTAATACTTTCCTTTGTCTTTGTTTGTCTCAGATTGTAATTTATTAATTTTTTAAATAGGTGATATGAATCGATCTAATTCAATGACAGAAATTTATACATGCACATAATACTTTTTATGTATAAATATAAAAATTTTATTTAAACCTCGAGGGAATAGACAAATAAGCTTATCTTATAAAAATTTCATTTACTAATTTATGTACTCGTATATATAACTATCATATTTTACAGAAAATAAAATATAAAACAGATTGTCTAGATCCATTTCTTACATTACTGTTGTTGCAACTCGCAACTGTTGTCGTATCTAATTTGAAACGTACGTGATGCACGCAGCAATCGTTTGCACCGCTAATCAGCGAGTATAACGGAGTTTTCGCCCGCTCTGGGAATACGCTTCGGAGCTCCCGATATGCGGAGACGCCAAAACGTCGTTAAGCATTGCGGCCGGGGTTCGTTAATGAACTACGTGAAATTAATTAGGGCCGTACGTCAACGGCGCCGGAGACAACGCCGACTCCAAAGTGCGGCGCGTTGGCGTGTACGCGAGCCAACGCGCGGAAGTTACAGCTCTGATTCCAGATTATCGATAATGCCAGGCCCCCTAGGGCCGTGCGTAACTAACTATCACGATTCGAGCCGTCCTGGCATTGGCTAGTAAAGTTCTATAGAACGTTCGACGTGACCGAGGTACTCCCATTCGAGTCTAAACGCGAGTACGACGAACTTTGGAACGTATTCGCGCATCAAGAAAATCGAACGATTATTATTCACGTATAATCCGTAAGATATTCTTGAATACAATAAGAACAAAAAAATGCTTTACTTTATTTAACTCTGAGACTTTTAAATTGTCGCTTTATAATAATTTGAATTTCGTCACCTTTTAATTCATATTTCTGCTATCAATTGTCTAAATCGAATTTCAATTACTTGTATAATTTGTAATTAATTCCAACTATATAATTAAAAAGTTTTGCATAACAGGTATCCTATTTTTAAAATATCAAGAATGTTCTCACATTTCTAGCATTTTCAATAAAATATATGCATAAAATGCTAGATGTTTTTATTACGTCTTGATATAAGCGAGATGAAATAAGTTGAGATGAATAGACCGACCTATATCCTACAACGTTTCACATCCTAAAGGATATATGTCAATAGAATCGACACCGTATATATAATACCGTAACTTGGAAATTCAACCGGCAATATGCTCTGATATTAAATATGGACCTCCGAAAATTCCATTCTAATTATCAAATTGATACACAATTAATAAAATTAATACTTAATATACCGACGATCCAAGCTAAAACAGCAATTCATGGAGATTTAATTTTCATAATTACACGTGACATATCTATTCCATCGATTTGGCGTTTCATTCATTACGCCGTGATTAATAAATAGCGATTCCCTGCGGACCGGGTTCCTTGCCCCTGCTCCGTTCGGATGTAGTTTAGCAGACACTCCAGGAAGCCAGGCAGTAATGTGCTCTTGACGATATATACATTATCGGATAATGTCGAATATTCCCATCGGCCCGGACGCGGATTTTCGCACTGTGCGTCCGCTCTCGTAACGACCGCGTCTAGTGGAAAGGGCTTTTAGTATCGTAACATTTTGACAAGTATTATGCAACTCGCAGTTACAGCGCCGGAGGAAGTTTCTAATGCCACTCCCTGAAAGATCAATATTTCCTCCTCGAAAGAAAGATAAACTGCATATAAACGACAATTCTAATTTTTTTTTTAATACAGCAATCGTACTTATTATTACAAGAATATTAGATACGAGAATCATATTATGCTTCATTCTTTTGTCCTTGTGTCAATTTAGAACTAATTTATCTATAATAGCATGGATCTTATCATTGGAATTAATGATTTTACTTGTATTCCGAGTGCTGATGTCGACTTATTCTCCGATTCTCGGTATAAATTTAAATATTCTCTTACGCAAATTCTTAGCTTCTTTATCGTGATAGTTTGTTGTTTCAGTTATCGCTATGATTATTATTAACAATTATTAGCGCGTTCACTTTTACAACTACTATTATGTTTTCAAGTGTGTTATTCTTTATTATACGAACAAAGTCGAAACGCTTGCAAAACACATATTTTTGCATCTTTCTCCAGAGCGTTAAGATGGTCAAAATAAATAAGTAAATAGATTAAAAATAAAAAGTTCTTTACATGCTGTGTAGAACGATAATGTTCTTATAGATTTATTTTGATATTTATAGCGGGATTGTCATGCAACGTGCACGATAGATTAATGCTTCTCGTTCAGAGCGTTCGCGTGTTCTCCGCAACTTGCTTCTCGCTGCTATTCGTTTAGCAGTTTAGCTAAACGCGGCGAGTAGATACCGCTCTTCGGTAGTCTCGACAGCGCGGCGCTTATAGAAGAGAGATGTAAATATAAAGTGGATGTTCGGGTCGGGATCGGCTGAATCGGTATAGCTTAATTGGCAATTAGCATGCCGCCAATGAAAATATCTGGAGTCGACAGGTGTGGCTGCTTAATTCAATCGGCGCGTCTCGAAAGCTCCGATCTCCGCCACTACAACACCATCACTACCTCCACCAATGTCGACGCTACCATCGCTTTCAACCAGCTATCACAATCGGATGTGACTCCGAGCTCGGGTGAATCCAATCCGTTTGGGCAGAGTACTAGTTCTTTATTTGTTCCTCGGTAGTCGATCCTTTCTTTTCTCTTCTTTCCTCCTTCTCCGCTTTCTTCGCTTTTCTTCGTTTCTGCCTCTCTGTTCTTTTTTTTGCCTTCCCGTCTTCCTTCTTTATCCCAGTCCTCCCGGGTCTTATGACTGTGCTCGTCTCGCGAGAATCTCTCCCAAGGGAAAGATTCGCTATTGAGGGGTGTAGTTATCGGTTCCCCGGGGTGTTTCGACCTTTTAACCCAGCATCCCTTCTCGCATTCGCGCCGTCATCGGCGCCAGCTCAACGTCTCATTCTTAACACACTCGAAAGCGGCACGTAATTCTCGAAAGTATCGATCGGTGGAAAATTGACTCGATCGGGCGATCTCACGACGTGGCGCATTGAAATATATCTTGATGTATTATCTGAAGGAGTCAGATACCTCCATCGTCAGATATTTATTGAGTATCAATACTATCGTTCGATATAAATGCGAAGCTAATTGGCGCGAACAAGTGGCAATTTGGCGAGGAAAGATTGCCTTAACTATTTTGCATATCGGAGGGCTCTTACTCAGACAATAGATTTCTCTTCGATAAAACATCCCGGACAAATATCCTCTTACAAGCGTGCAGTGGATAAGGTTACTAGTTACTGATGTCCAAGCTATCACTATGAACGATGGACAACACATCTCGTGGCTCTCAGCATAGAATTTTTATCTATTGACTGTTTGTCTCACTAACTTGGAATTTTATTTTCTAAAATGCTGCGTGTAAAAATAATAAGTTACTAATCAAAATGTAATTAATGCGATTTCCGATTCAATCGAAAGATTTTTCAGCGCGTGAGAACTCGTTACGGGTATTTCTATACGACGTCGCAAAATACAGCCGAGCAAAATCCCTAAGCTTTATAAATGAAAGTTTGAAACAACCGAAATTGAGCCAGACAATGCGTTATCGCGTTATCTTTGCACCCGGTCTTTTTTAAACTCCTAGAGTCAGTGATGGCGATTAATTAACGAGGACCCGACTGGAGGATAATAAGCAGCTTACTCGTTAATTACATGCTTCTGAGCGTCATGGGAATTATGTGCGAATCGAATCGCGTTAAAACAACGTATTAGCAAATAGGTCCTGATCGCTCCTGATTAATCGAAGCGAATCGCAGGCGAGGGAAAGTTCGCGCCTCTGGGATTAGCTGCGCGCGCGAGTCCGGCGGTACCTTTCAGTGTTTCGCGAAAGCGCCGGAACAAAAATGGAAGTGACGAGCCGCGGAAGAAAGCGGGAAAAAGCGGCTTTTGTGCCGGGGGACAAAAGATACGGGATATACCCATGGTATAAGCCACAGGAGAGGGATAAGGAGCAGCTACTTCTAGGTCGAGGATTCGCGCAACCCGCTGTTATACTTCTTATTTTTCTTCCTTACCGTCGTGTGCTTCAGCTGTCTTCTCCGACCCTTGTACCAGGTTATCACCGCAGGTGGCCTTGAACCAGCGGTCTCGCACTCCACGTCATACCGCTTCCCCGCTAGGAGGGACTCGTTGCCGATTACTTCCCTACCCAGTCTTCTTATGATCACAGATAAAGGTTTCACTAAAAAAAAACGATGTAAACTTTGACGGCATTGTTCTGCTACGTCACATCCAAGTACTAAATTCTTACATCGGACTTTGTCAGCATATTCCATTAGGTACTTGGTAAAATCTGATCAAATATTTTAAGAATATTCCGTATATTAAAATTTACAATATAATATATACGTGAAATTGAAGCGAAGCGTCGATGAAAATACCCACAAATTATTAACATTTAATCAGAAACCAATTTAATCAATTATTTGAAAAATTTTTAATATTAATTAAATTAATTATTGTGTGATATTATTGCCATATTATACATAAAAATTTCATTTCCTTCAATGATTTGTTAGGAAATTATTTCCTAATAAAAGCATTTTTTAGGAAATTTTCTACGTAATAAATATTTTATAAATTTTAATTAAGTTAAATTTGAAATACTAATGTGTAAAAACTGATCTGTTTTGAAGCTTTCTAATAATAATATAAATATAAATATAGATAAATGTGTACAAACATAAAAAAGCTTGACATTTTTTATTTTTAATGAAAACTGTGTTCTCTGCCTTAAGGAATTAAAAATATGACCGATAAAAATATGAGAGCTTTAGCTACGGTCGTGTCAAATCGCTAAAATGGATCTCACGTTATAAAATGATAAATTGCCGACCTGCAGCCACCCTTCACTTCTGGATAAAGCTTCGGTATATCGTATCAGTTGCGCACCACGTGGAAACAATTGCGTAAGTTAAACAAATATTTTCGACGTTGTTCGAGTGGACGCATTTAACGAACATTTATTCGGCAAATATTTTTGCGCAAAGAATGAATATTTAGTCATATACGTATACGATATGCGGTATCGTCTCCCCGGGTAATCAAGTGTTCACATCGCCAACCTTCGCAATTATTGTTTCTGAATTTCTGATCTAATATTAATTTGCTCTTTTCGTCAAGTCTCGTGTTTGCGTACGCATGTATGCGTGTACGCTGAAAAACTGCACCGTCCTAAATTTTACTCGCGAAGTGACGATGGTTCTGACGGTCAATAAATCCAAGTTTCCAATTCGTCGGTGTCGACACTAGATACAATTCGTTCATTCGTGAAATATGAAAACTGTGTATAGAGATTTCCATACGCTGTTTGCGATACACTTACTCCGATAATACTAGCATGTATTCGTTATTCATTATCTTTATGTTACCGTCCTTATTATATACTAGTAAATTGTTTACATATTGACGCGGCGTTTACATGGACGCTAAATATTTATTACTCCATTTACGTAATTGAGCAATTTATTTTAGTGAAACGGTGTGCTATTTTTCGTAGAAATAAATATCCGATAGATACAAAAATCGGACGATTCTATTAGAATTAGTTATAAAATTAGCATTTTAGACGTTCGTGTAAAATATAAATTTATACATTTATTAAGTAACGGTATTATATATAAAACGCAAGATTACAACAAATATAACAATATGGAATGCGCGCGCGGTATAACATACCTAAATAAGTATGGTGCTATTAAAGCAATAATCTTAACCCGATAATATTTGTAATTTAAAGTTTATAATCAACTTTTAAAGCTGATAAGTTCAAGCACACTAATGCGTCGGTCGATGCAGCAATCTCGCAATTGATGTGCGCTGTCCCAAAGCGTTGAGTGCAAGAGGATGCGCTGTTTGTTCGAAATACGATTTTTAATTTTTATTTCACGGGGAATAAAATAAAACGGCAGAATAAATACGCATTGGATGCGCAGGCACTTTGCCGAAGTAACAAAAATCAAAGAGCGTTCATCATTTAGGGTAGATCCCGGCTCGTTCCACTTCTTTCATCATGGATTTCCTCTCTGATCGTTTCAATCTGTAATTTTTTTATTCGCCGCTATGATGGGGTCGCTCTTCGCTCATCGATAACCGGCCTGCAATTTCGTTAGTAGCTTCGACGAAAATCCGATGATTTTTGGAAGACCTGATTATTGGGCGCGTATCGATCACCGTCTCTCTGTATGGTTCTCGATATTCTCTCGTGGAAAAGCGAAATTCCTGCTTCCATAATACACGCGTAAAAAGGAGCAAGACTGATGGAATCCTTATGAGAACGTCGGTGATGGATAACGGTCTAATCGAATCAAGGGCCAGCAATCGAATCGTCCTGACCGATAACGATCGGGAGGGAAAGGTTCGCGGAAAATGGTAGCGAATCGGCTCGCGCGATACAAAAATCCCATCGTGTCGCAGACTTGACGCGATCGTTGGATAAGGCACGACGCGAGATAAGATCCCACTCGCCAATTTTTCGGTTTAGTACGAAAATTAGGGCCGTCACCTTATTCCTATTCTACACCTCGCCCTAAACCCGCCCTAGGCGGGTTAACGAAGAATTCTAATTTCGGAGGAGCCTAGAGGATGTAGTCTGCCTTTCATGCTTCTTCTCTCGCTCCTTCTCAGGAGAGAAAAGGAATGAGAAGAAGAAGCAGGGGGACGAACGAGCCGGGTGGGACCGGAGGGTGAATTTAATATATTTCTCGTCTTATCTCGCCTTATCTTCCCTTAAAGGCGACTCGCCAGCGGCGAGAGAGCAAAGGATGTTGGCCCACTTTTGGTGTCTCGTAGATTTTATCGTTAATGCGAGACAAGATAGGCTCAGGGGCGAAGCCTCTGATTTGTTGGCCGCGTGATAAGAATTTATATTTTCCATCTTTCCTTTCATTACTTGTACTCTTGTCCTTTTAATAAAAATATTCGGCTGTTATAGATGACCACGAGAGAAACGCAAATTTGTGTTGTGCAAATATGTTTCCACGTGGATATTTCCTTTCGCATAGATAAGAATATTGTTCTATTTAAATTTGTGCAACAGAAATATTTAGATTCACTTACAATTGAGGTCCAGGGAAATCGATGTCTCCTTCGGATCCACCAAGTCCGTGTTGCGCGCTTCGCAGGTAAAGTTTGAACCGAGGTCAGAGCGATTGATGGGCTGTAGCGTTAATCTGTGAGTGTTAGAACAAGTTATACATATATAAATACATATATAAAACTAATCCGTGTGAGAAGTCATTATAAGAGAAAGATTTTCTACGTAATATTATATATACAATTAAATATCTATGAGAAAATACGATGAAAGAAATTATCCTACCTATTCTCGATTACATCTCCAGCATTATTTTCGTATTCCTCGTCTTTCACTCGGCCGTTTATGAGCCATCTAACCATTGGTTGTGGCTTACCTGCAATAAACAAGACATTAATTTTATTTTAGATTTTATAATTGTGTTATCTAAGAAAATATTTGATCTAGTTCGTTGCAAGAATTTCGCTAGTTGGCACATCCTTCGTAGTTACCCTCCAGAATTAATTACCTTCTGTAAGAGTTCTCTGTGTGCAATAGCTATCCTTGTAACTATCATTCAGAGTCGAAAAACGAGCGAGGGATGACGCAGCGATGTGCGCTCGCGGCAAGCGTTCGTCAGAGACCGGTGAAGATCGTATGCACGATGCAACGAGCTTTGCCGAGGCTACTAAGCGGTAGACGAGTTCTCGGGAACTTTTAAATTAGCCAATACACCTCCTCCCTGTCCTCTCGGAGCTTTCGATGCCGGTATGCCAAGCAAAAACTAGGAGACTTCGGTCTCGAAGCGTTCGATAACTGCAAGTTATACATAGGTTGCTGCGCGCACCGACATGGACGTGGGCCAATAAATACGGGTTGTACAACAGGTCGGAATATGCGGCGGAAACGATCAAAGCAATTGAAAAATTAAAAACGAGATTACACGGCCGACCCACGGGGTTCAGGTTCTCTCTCGAAAGATCGAAATGAAGTATGCGCGAAAGTAAACCGTATATTGCTCGTCCATGCGTCTCCTGGTTATGAAATTGTTTTTTCAACTTTTCGCCTATTATCACTTAAAAATGTTTAAACAATATGTTTTTATTTTCTACAAATAAAGGGAGGAATTATTAATGGCGTTTCAACCGCGTTTTATCTAGCGAAGTAATATCTATTGATAAAAAGCAGAGAGAGAGAAAGAAAGAGAGAGAATCGATGCACACGGGGATATTATATTTTTATATTATGAATTCATTAAATCTTTTAAACGACGAGAGGTACATGCGCTATAATATAGTTATCTTTTAACGATGCTGAAATATTAATGTTCACTTTAGTGTGATACGCATCCAATTAGAGTACCTTTATTTTAAATATATCGGGAGTAAAAGTGCTGATTTGACACTCGGAGATATCGGTGTTTTACCGTGATATTAGTTTTATCTTTGCGGGCTACGTCGCGCCAATATTTGTGCTACCTGGCCGGGGTTGTGGAACACGAACCGACGCCGACGATGTGATCAAGGGAGAACCATGTAACGAGAGTAACTGTGGCTTACGCCAGATACGAACGGAGGTATAATTCCTCTTACAGGAAATAGTGTCGGAACTCTGCGCAATCTCGCTTTGTTTCATACCTATTGAAAATGTATATTCAGTTCTCTAATTTTCTCTCTCCCTCTTTCTTTTTCTCGTAAAAATGGATTTTCATATAGATAATATATCATCCAAGTTACAATTCATTTTCATATCAAGCATCTAAAAATATTCTACAAATACAACTTCATTAAATGCGCTAACGTATTAATTCTATCGATTGACAATAAGGAGAATATGTACTATTTTATATTTAATTTTTTATATTTAAGATAAGTAATTTTTTAGATAATAAAACTTTCTTGAATCTTTGTTAGATTAAAATTTCCATAACTCTTTGAAGCAATTTGCATAGTAAATCATGTAATAACACTTATTTAGAAACAAAAATAGCGAAAAGAAAATAGTAAAAATTGTCCAAGTTATAAGCCGTTGAAGCAAAATTCTTTTTTGACTAGAGTAAACGCCGATCATGTTTTCAGCTGAACCAGCAGTATAAAAGAGATCGTTGCAAGTACATCGTCTATCATCTGTACTTTTAGCGCGAGCCGCAGAAATTCATGTAGAGGCAGTATTGGTAAAGTGACGGCCATCAAAGGTTCGAATTTTCAAAACTGTGAAAAATGGATTTTATTTTGTTTATGAAAACCGTTATACATGTTTCCCATTAATCCATCCAATATCACTGGACCACATATGTCCCAAGAAATATTTGAAAAATTTTATTGGAATTACAAATTTTAGCAAGAACGAAAAAAAAGTACAATAAACAAAGATATATTTTATCGCGAATCATATAAATATTTCAATTTTAAAAAACTATCTCAATTTAATTTAATAGCAAAATAAATCTCTCTCTGGAATGTATACTTGATTGTGAGACTTAACACCATCATGTGATTATTTTTTTTAGATTATAGTTTTTAATTCCGTATGGAATTAAATATTGTTGTAGAAAACTTTTTTGATCCTGACTGTAGTGCTACAGTCAGACAAAAATCGCCGGAAAAAATGAACGAGAGCAATCCCTCGAGCCTCGGGAGTGCGGGAAAAATGTGCCATTCAAATGCCATCGTTTCATTGTTATTCACGGTAGCGTGCGGCACCGGAAACACAATTTAATCAGGTCCGATGCAACATCGACACGACACTTAAAATTGCAACCTGATCTTCAGCCGGAAAACACGACGCACATAGCCGATGTGGGAACGGCCTCTCGCCTAGATTAGTTCCATATCATTGTTATTCACGATGCCCGCCAATCCTGATTGCGTTTTAACCGTCTCGTTGCTTCTGATTCTCATCGCTCTCGTCTTCCGTTCCCGCCGCTGCGCTGCTCCGTCTAGCGAACGCCATATTGCCGTCTCTCGAAATTAATTCTATCATGTTTATTAGGTTTTATCTGAATCGCGACGGAAATGTAATAAATTTAAAAGAGAAAAGACTTTCTTGTGACTCCGTTTCTTGCATTTACAAATACCTCTTATATTTACGCGTATTGGACATTTTAAAAATTTTAATTAACTTCCATGAAATTTGAATCGCGTTGAGATAAAAATGTGAAAGCGTCCTTTTTGACATATCAACAGCTTTTTCGTTTAAAAAATTAATCGACCAAGCAAATTTTATCCGAATGCCAATATATTCGAGATGTGTGATCAGATAACAATAATCTATAATCTATAAAATTACTGGACCTTTTAAAGAAGGGAGGAATTTCAAACGCAAAGCAGTTTTAAATGACAATTTTTGTTTTCGGATCGATTTCAAATGAAGAATTTTCGTCTTTCAAAGTTTTAATGACTGTCGAGAATCTACATTTCTCATCCACAGTATAGCTTCCATCCGAAAAGTCGGCAGTTCTTCATTCGCACAAAAAATACAGTTGTTCAAAACTGTCTTGTGCTCAAACCTGCCTCCAAAGTTTTCCGTAAATTTATAGCAACACTTGGAAATGTTTTCGTACAAACGAGTATTTTATTACAAGAGTACGGCGTACGAGGATGGTGGACTGTAATTTTCCAAGTATCTGTTTACGCGTTTTGTTTTACGCTGCGTAATAACCTATAATAACGTAGTTGCGCATGTGAAAGTCTTCGGTCTCATCGCTGCTAATTATATACACAAATCGCGCAATCTCGCCACATAAGGAAATTCCCGGAGGAAGAAGAAAAAGTGAGGAAAAAAGCAGGAAGGAGGAGGAAAAAGAAACGGAATAGCCCCCATTCGTCCGCGGAGTGCTGTACGCTTAATTCGACGGTAAGCATTTTTCAGTGAGCAGACGGCGCGTTATAACGACACAGCGGTTCCACTTAATTCGTAAGCTCAGCCGCTCGTTTGCATGAGTACTTAGGGATGAGCGAGAGGTCGGTCGTCGACCGTGGTGGTTGAGCCGAATAACGGTGATGGTCGCGAGGGTAAGATCTTGGCGCGCCCCTGGCGTTGACTTTAACCACTCGGACTACATTCAAACCCCAACCTCCGACTTCCGCTCACCTCCCGCCCGATACGACATTGGAGGCGACGCGACGCAACGCGACGCGACGCGCACCCTCACCCCCGCCACTCGTTTCCCTCGAATCTGGCGACAACTGGTGTGCTATCTGCGCTGTGCGGAGCGACAGAGGGAGAACACTAAAGTGCGGATTTTAATCCGCGGATACCGGACGATATCTTGAGGGATTAAGACCTGGGTCCACAAGCGCCTGGGTCGGCATCTAACAAGTTTTGGTTCGAACTCCGCTTAAAGCAAATACCTACTACGTCGAGTACTCGGCGAATCCTCTCGGCAGACTCAGCTCCTTTACCCCTGCCACCGTCGACCCCTGTCTCGTCATGATTTAGAGGAGACTCCTTGTTTGATTAAAACCGATCGTGATACTCTTCTCGCATAGCATCTTCGCGGCGATCTCACGATCAGTAGCTGCATGTATTAGATGCCTTTTCTCGTAAATTGCAGAGGCGTTTAACATAATAATATAAAGACGTCATTGTATTCATAGTGATCGGGGCATAAAAGTTTAGAAAAGCGTGCGCTCTATATAGAAACGAAATATTTCGCAAGGAAGTCTGCGAATCGGGGAATGTTTTTCCTATCGAGAAAAAGCGGTAAAAAAAGGTATTACGGAAATATAAAAGCAGCGATACGTAGGGAGATTTTTGCGTCTTCGGCTCGCGGAACCAATAGCTACGGTTATTACGCCTCCAATATCAATATTTTCGTCGTTCCCGTGATATCCGGGGTTTTATCGACTGTTGCATTATTGAATGCTGGATTTTCCATCGCTGGATATTCCCGAAACGTGCAATGTAGACATTCTGGGAGCGCGAGTTCGTACAATTATGTCGCACACCGATTACGCTAAAGCCGGCGAATTACTTACGGTCGTAAACTGCAGCCGTTCATCGTCAGCAGTAAATTTTATTCGAGATTATGAGTCGAAGGAAATTTACGACGACATTTACGTGGACGTTTACGTGTGACATTTATATAGGTATGTATATGATCGGGGCTTTTTCTTATCGAACTCGCTTCGTCTTTATTCGACTGGCTAATCTTCCCAGTGATTTCGGTGGAAGATTCTGTACTTAAATATTGCACTAGTTGTATCGTTTTTTATTTTGCGTTTGCATCTCCAGCCAGCAAAACCAGCATTATCTCGTATTTTCATTTATCGTGCCATATCTTATTTTCGATTGGAACTTTCGCGATTTACGAGTTTTCCGGTTACGTGCTCGCCCCCTCTCCTTACCCCTCCTTACCCATCCCTCCCAGAACTGGATTATGTTTTCCGATTCCCC